TCAGTGATGTCTCAGTGATCGCAAGGGTGAAAACTGGCAGCGATCACCGAATGGTTAGAGGCACACTGAACCTGAACGTTAAGTAGGAGAGGTCTCGTCTAATGAAGTCAACGCTCCGTCCCCCTCGTGCTCTGATCCAGAATCCCGAGATTTTTCAGCTCGAGTTACGTAACCGCTTTCAGTGCCTAGAAGATTGCAATGCAGTGGACGATATGAATGACAAGCTCGTGGAAACTGTCCATGCGGTCGGAGCTAAGTTCTGCAAGACCCGCCGCAGAAGAACACAAAAAACTCTCCGATCACACTCTTAATCTCATGGCTGTTAGACGGGAGATGAGGCTGCAATCGTCAACAGATTTGACAGCATACAGGCAACTGAACAGACAGATCTCCAAATGCATGCGGCGAGACTTGCGCAACTTCAATACTGCTCGTATTGAAGAAGCGATCGAGCGGAACCAGGGCTCCAAAGTCTGTGCCAGAGATCTATCTGTCAGTAAGAGCCAACTGTCAAAGCTGAAGACTGAGTGTAGCAACATCGTTTCCGGGCCACCTGAGATTCTGAGTGAGATTGAGAGGTTCTATGGGCAGCTGTACACATCATCGTTGGAGCCACACGCAAGTGTGAGTAACGATCCAAGAGCAAGTCTTATCCGACACTATTCCGATGATATTCCGAACTATCCGGACGTCAGTCTGAGCGAGATTATAATGGCACTCCAGCACCTTAAAAACGGCATGTCCCCGGGCGAGGATGGAATTACAGCGGAGCTTCTGAAAGCGGGTGGAAACCGGTACTTGAAGTCCTTCAGAGGCTCTTTAATTCCGTCCTCCATGGTGGCACTACTCCGGAGGCGTGGAGCAGAAGTGCGGTGGTCTTGTTCTTCAAGAAAGGTGACAATGCCCTCTTGAAGAACAACAGACCGATATCCCTTCTGAGCCGCGTCTATGTGCTGTTTTCGAGAGTCATTACGAATCGTCTCGCACGCAGACTCCACGACTTCCAGCCTCCCGAACAAGCCGGTTTCCGAAAAGGCTTTAGTACCATAGACCACATACATACCCTTCGGCAAATTGTACAGAAGTCCGAAAAGTAAACTCACTTTGCCTGGCGTATGTGGACTATGAGAAAGCCTTTGATTCCGTCGACATTTGGGCGGTGCTACAATCTCTACAGCGGTGCCAAGTTGACTGTCGGTATATTGAAGTGCTGAAGTGTTTGTACAGTAGGGCTACGATGGCTATCCGAGTACAGAACCAGAGTACGAAACCTATCCAACTGCAGAGAGGTGTAAGACAGGGTGACGTTATTTCCCCGAAACTCTTCACCGCTGCATTGGAAGACGTTTTCAAGCTACTGGACTGGAAAGGATACGGTATTAACATCAATGGCGAGTAGATCACTCACCTTCGATTTGCCGGCGATATAGTCCTTATGGCAGAATCGCTGGAGGACTTAAACACTATGCTCAATGACCTCAATAGTGCCTCCCAACGGATAGGTCTTAAGATGAACAAGGACAAAACAAAGATCATGTTTAATGTCCATGTCACACCTATGCCGGTAGTTGTTGGGAGCACTAAGCTCGAAGTTGTTGATGAGTACGTTTACCTGGGACAAATAGTTCGACTAGGTAAGTCCAACTTCGACCGAGAGGTCAATCGACGGATTCAACTCGGCTGGGCAGCTTTCGGGAAATTACGACGCATCTTCTCGTCAGGTATACCTCAAAACCTGAAAACTAAGTTGTACAACCAGTGCGTGTTGCCAGTGACGACCTACGGAACCGAGACGTGGTCCTTCACTGCTGGCCGTATGAGGACGCTCAAAGTCGCTCAGCGAGCTATAGAGAGGGCTATGCTCGGAGTTTCTCTACGTGATAAACTTAGAAATGAGGATATCCGCAGTAGAACCAGAGTGACCGACATAGCCCAACGGATTAGTAAGCTGAAGTGGCAATGGGCCGGCCATATAGCTCGAAGAACCGACAACCGTTGGGGAAGAAGGGTTCTCGAGTGGCAGCCTCGTACCGGTAGGCGAAGTGTAGGGCGACCCCCCACTAGATGGAGTGACGACCTGGTAAGACATGCAGGAAGTCGATGGATGCAGGTGGCTCAGGACCGTGCTTTGTGGCATACCTTGGGGGAGGCCTATGTTCAGCAGTGGACTTGTAGGCTGTAAGCTGAAGGGCTGTAATGATGATGATGATGACTGTGACATATACAATACTCTTCATCTAATACATTACATAATTGAGTAAGGTATGCTTATGTACTTTCTTATTAATTTTTTATTAGTCACGCCGTGCGACTTCTGGCTAGTGAACAGACCTTAATCTGTAGAACCTTAATCTTTGACATCCAAAGCAAAAAAAGTTTCTACTACTATAAATATTGAGGATGTTTCCAAAGTAAATTAAAAAAAATACGTGTGGCACTCGGTGACTGCCGCGGTAAAGCTATTGCATAGCATTTTTTATCAACTTATGCAATTATAATTATTTATTTATTTTGTTTATGCAGTTAAGTCTTTGATATTAAATCAAGTTACACTTTTTGAGCGTGGTGACCGATAAGAAAACAATTTTTTTTCTCTTATTAAATAAATGAGAAGTTAATATTGTTTAAAATATTTTTAATATCTTACAATACATGTAGGTTATTCAGGAATTTTTATCATTGAGTTAGCAGCTAGTGTACACGCACACAAACACCGTGCCGAAGTCTGTCGAGTGCCGAAGTCTGCCGAACTAAAACGACGTTAGACGATGCACGGCTTTCAACGCCACACCTCCGTGCCCGTCGGAGTGGGGAGCGTGAGGTTTTTTTTCGTTACGGAATTTCTGGATTCGGTCCCCGCGCTCAAGGCCCGCGATAGAAGCTATGCAATAGCTTAAAAAATATATATAATCCGTATACAGTAAAAATAAAGTTTTACAATGTATGTGAAGGTGATTTTGGTTGTATTTGATTTGATTGTCATGTTATATGTCATAAAAACTCAGTTTTGATTGATGTGCGGTTTTTTATTTTTAAGTTCAATTCTGATTTTAGTATTTATAACGATTAAGGCTCGCGCACATTAGAGCGGGCCGCTCCGCACCACATCGCATAACAAAACTCCTCCTACATCACTTTCGTACATTTTATATGAACGGCCGCACCAGGCCGCAGTGCAACGCACTGGCGGATCGCTTGCTAATCTTATTTTTGCGGTGATGTTATGCTTCCCGCCTCAGTGTGCGTTGAAATTAAAAGGCGAAGTAAACGGACATGCCACGCTCGCCCGATTTGCAACAACAGTAAATTAGGTATTTAGGTTTAATTATTTACCCTTTTTTTCGCTTAACTATTCATGTACACCAATGGTACACCCTGTCTAAATACACGCATGGTGTTAGTGTTATAGGTTAGTTATTAAAAAGCTTATACGGAATGAATAAATAGTTGCTAATTTATTTAGTAGAACAGTACAAGGAACTGTACGACCTACAACACTCTATGATAATGTCCAAAGAAGGAATAACATTTGGGATGAAATAGGAAGAGTTATAAAACTTCCACCCATACATCGCTTTGGACTGCCAACGCAACGGTTGACTGGTTCAATTATTGCGTTGCGGCGCGCCCCGATGGGACTCCTAAGGGATAGGTTCACACGGCACGTTGAGTCAGCGTTGCGTTGACGTAGCGCTGTCACTGCGTCGTTTTACATACATACTAATAATCATAGTGTTCACACGGGGCGCTGCGTTGACGCAACGCGAACGCTACTGACTGAAAGCCCCCGAGACGAAGGGGAAGGGGTATACTGCTTGCGACGTCGGAGCGGCAGCGCTCAGTTGTTTGTGCGTTGATAGTACGCAAGTTAATTTCGTTTTTCCTTTGAGTTTAATTTGCGGAGTAAAATAAGTACCATTAAAAGAATTGATATAGATTACTTCATTTCATTAATTCAGGAAATTTTCAAATATATAATTACTTGATAACGACTCTCTAAACTTTAATGACTTATGATAATTTTTGATTATAAACATTATAAAATAAACAAAAAAAAATTATAACATTTTCATTGGCTCTACTGGATTCCTCATTCCTCAGTATAGTTTTTCTGTAGCTTTGGCTCTAAGGACTTCAATAAATATTCGAAGCTGGACAACTCATTCTAAAGAAATTGTAAAACTTCTTTTCGTCCAACAGAAACTCCTGATATTCTAACAAAAAAACTGTCCATCACTATTTCAAAATGAAATTAGGGAACAGGTCTAATACGGTCTTGTGATTTTGCGTTGATTTCGGCGGTGACGTAGTATTATGAGCAATGCTAAACATCTTTTTCGGTCCATGTTTTCGAATAAACTGCGATGCTTTTACAAAATGCTCACCGCAACTGTGCGTTGCCGCTGCGAAGATGGAACGTTACAACTGCGTTGTAGGAACGCTGCGATGACGCAACGCCGGTGTGGACGGAAACGACGCAACGCAACGCAACGCGACGTGTAAACTCGCTCTAAAGTGCTTTGGCGCAATTTTGCAATAAGATGCGCTACGGTCTTTCGCGGCTGTAGTATGCGCAAGCCTTTAAATGAAAAGAATAAGGAAGAGAGTACAATAGATAAAGCAATGTTGACTAGAAAAAAAGTATTGACATTTAAATTTGAATGTTAATATGAATGTACTGGCTAATTTAATTTAACTAGAGGCTAGGTTACCAATATTTTACAGACCTTTTTTTCTTTATAAGTAGCTGAGCCCTAAATAGTTTTCATAGGTACCTTTCTCTCTAAAATTTTACTTTTTTTCTATTTTCTTATGTTTGTACAGTAGGTACAATACTACGTATACACGATATTACCCTATTATTTGGAACATTGTAACTTACCCTATCGTATTACTGCCTCAGTGAAGGTTTGCAGCCTTTTTTAACAAACCTATGTTTGTTCATAACACTTTATTGTGGTCTTATAAATTATAAATAACAAATAAAAAATATTTCACTTTCATACTACGTATGGCCTAAACATATCCATGCCTGGCCTACCGCCTTCTTGGTTTATAACAACCAATCCGCGCCTATTGTTTTCTAAATTTGAATTGAAATTTGCCGCAGCCATTGCCCTCTCTCTTTCTAACGCAATAATCCTCTCCCTATCTAACAACGGTGGAGGTTTGACAGATGTCAAATCTGCGGCCATGTGTTGTTGCGGTTGTTTTTCAGATTCAGAAGGTGGCTGAGGTAAGTCTTTTGGCTTGTTCTTCTCGTCAGCTTGGTGCGCGATATGAGGGTCTTTCGTTTTTGTATCTTGTTGGGCCTTTTTTGATCGTTTCCACTTCATTCTTCGGTTTTGAAACCATATTTTTACCTGAAAGAAAGAAAGATTTATAAAGTCAATAAATCAAACACCGATAAAAAAATTATTACAAATAATCAGAAAAATTAAAATAATGATATCTATATATCCTCTTAATAATTATCTAGATATAAGGAAGACATAAGGATTTTTTAATAGGATAGCGTGACAAACGGGCACATAGTCCACCTGATGTTAAGTGGTTGCTGCGGCCCATAGACATGTAGGTACATCAATCCTCGATCATGAATCAAAATGCAAATGCGTTGTCACCCCTGAAGACTAGGATGGAATGCCTCTTTTCCAGAAAAAAGGGTCTCCGGTTCTCTACACTCACCATACGAAACACAGCAGCGTTAAGCTTCTATTTCACGTAGGTATTCTGTGAGAGCGTGGCCTCCTTCTCCGGTCAAATCGACCCCATTACTGTTACAACTATACTACTAATATAGCTGCAGTATGACTCTACCACATAAAAATATCACTATTAAGCTATTGCATAGCTTCTATCGCGGGCCTTGAGCGCGGGGACCGAATCCAGAAATTCCGTAACGAAAAAAAACCTCACGCTCCCCACTCCGACGGGCACGGAGGTGTGGCGTTGAAAGCCGTGCATCGTCTAACGTCGTTTCAGTTCGGCAGACTTCGGCACTCGGCAGACTTCGGCACGGTGTTTGTGTGCGTGCGACTAGACGTATGCGTGTACACTAACTGCTAACTCAATGATAAAAATTCCTGAATAACCTACATGTATTGTAAGATATTAAAAACATTTTAAACAATATTAACTTCTCATTTATTCAATAAGAGAAAAAAAATTGTTTTCTTATCGGTCCCCACGCTCAAAAAGTGTAACTTGATTTAATATCAAAGACTTATCTGCATAAATAAAATAAATAAATAATTATAATTGCATAAGTTGATAAAAATGCTATGCAATAGCTTTACCGCGGCAGTCACCGAGTGCCACACGTATTTTTTTTAATTTTTGTGATTATCTAGATATCCTGCTACGCCGCCGCTCCTTAGTGCCAGCTTAAGCAAATCCACTGCTACTCCATATCATCTAATGGGAACCGCCTGCCAGGTGTGTTAAACAAGGAAAATATCCCCGTAATGAGCAATCTATAGGTTGGCTAATGTTATGCAACGGACTTTATAGGCTGTAATGATCCTAAAGGAATGAGATAATGGCAAAATCATTCCAAATCTATCGGAGGCCACTAACTTTACTCATCCCAACTGCACAGGGCAGATAGTGCTACAAGTGTACGCACTTACACAATTGCACTTAGTTAACCGAGGGTGCTTGTATCTGAAGAAATTGCTAAGAAATAAGATTGCAGATGTCTAGACTAGGATTCCTAAGATATACAAACTGAAGGTCTGGTGCCTGGCAAGGTTTTAATAATTAATTAGGTATGTACGCGATATTATACTTTCTCCCTACAGAAAAAGATATTGATATTTAATGTTTTATTGCACAAGCTTCAAATTTGTCTACGACAGTTTGACATTTGAAATGTTACTAGGAGCATAAGTACATAAAATTTGCTTTTTGGTATATACTCGAAACCACTTGCAATATTACAAGTTACAACACATCAGCATAATTTATCATAATGCAAAAACTGAACGTGGGTGCGAAGAGATTAATCTTTAAACCCATATAAAACGCCCTACGCAATAAACTTTATGGGTAACGTTTACCTCCCCCATAATCTTGTTGGGACATTTGTAAGCTCAAATCCGGGCATCGCTCAGCTTGACATTCGGTCCTTGTTGTCTTTAGTGCCAAATAGAAAATATTTTATGGTACCGTTGCAAAAAGCATTTTTTCATTAGGATTTTTTTATTTTTACATTAGGATTTTTTATTTTTACATTAGGATTTTGATTTTTTATTTGTATTAAATACCTTAAATAGATACAAATATATTCAAGAAATGATTGGTAATATATAATAATTAAGAAAGATTTATTATCCATTTTAAGTATCTTTTTATAGCCTATTCTTCTTTGTAAGTCTAAGGTCTTCTAATCTACTGTTTCGGGTGCTGGCTTAGCCAGAACAAACATTCGTTCAATAATAGGAACGTCTTTTACGAGTCTGAATGTATTACAGAAACATAACTTCGATCTTCAACACTCCGTCCGAGACTACCTCCGATCTTATCTCCTGCATTACATTGAATGGTTGAGATGAGAAAAGTTAGTGGCAACAGGTTTGCGCAGTTTATAACTCCCTTTAATTGTTAAGTAAGTAGGATGCCGTCGTCATAATTTTTTATTTAATTGTATACTCATTACGAGTATACAATTAAATAAAAAATTATGCTCCTTTAATGGAAACTTATCTAAGGCGAAACATTCCTAATATATTGGTATGCATTTATTATTTATTTGTTCTTCTAACCTGCGTTTCTGTCAGCATGAGGCTCGTCGCTACTTCGAATCTCTTGGGTCTTGATAGATATTTGTTCATGCGGAATTGCTTCTCTAATTCTAATAGCTGTTGAGAAGTGAAAGCGGTTCGAGGACGCCTGGTCTTCCCCAAAAGTGCGTGCGGCGCGCCTGTTAAAGAATTTGTTTAAATCAGAATATATCACAGAAAAATGGCACAGCTTAAAGACTTAACAGTTGTGAAACGCTTGTGATGTCAACAGATGGCGCTGCCCACGCAGGTATATTTACCTTTTATCTACGCCGTCGTCACAAATATACTAGGGGTTGTCACGAAATTGATAGTAAAATCATTTTGGATGTTATAATAGGTACCTGCTCAATAATATTTATCTACATTATGTACGTACTTATAAGTTAAAAACATTTATCTAACAAGATCATTTTTACCGACTTCAAAAAGAAGAAGGTATTCAATTCAACTGTATGTTCTTTTTTATGTGTGTTACCTCATAACTTTTCTCTGGGTGAACCGATTTTGAAGATTCTTTTTTTATCTGAAAGCTGGTGCTTGTCGTGTGGTTCCATATAATTTAATCAAGATCTGACTAGTATTTTTTGAGTTATCTTTAATAAGGCTTATTTAATTGACTTCGAATATATTGATTCGGTCGCATTGAAGTCGACTTCTTATTACTACAAATTAAAATACATTTATAAGTGTTGCTCTGCTAAATATTTTCGAGACACTTTCTTTTTGTAGATGTTTTCAGTTTTCGATTGCTAAATTTAACTATGTAGTGTACTCGCATTCGGATGAACAATTATATCAAAAAAAAAAAATGAGGAAAACATTAATATGGCAGTCATTTGAATTCAACTTTACGCAGTAACTCATATAACTATAACAGTAATTCACCATTAAAGATATTATATCTTTCGAAAACGGCAGCTAAAATTAGTAAAACAAGTATTTTAAAACCCGCGCAGGTCAATCGTAAGTAGGTACTGTTCGGCAGACTTAGTCACGGTAATATTATCTATACAGTATTGTAACTCGGCTGTATCTTTGAAATAAATGCCTACAGCCGCGCGGTACGTAAACATACGATAGGGCTGCCTGCCTCCAGCAATTTTACATTTGCCTACTTTGTGTTTCCATTTAGTTTTATGATTGTAAATATACTTATACTTTTTTTATATAAACAAATATAATAGGTACTTCGTGAATTGAATAGGAAGTGTTCAATAAAAATGCGTGTCGTTTTTTGATTGGTAGATTTAATTAAAAAACCATGTTTATGTTTGAATAACGAATCGGTCTTATGAATTTGCGACCGGAAAATATTTGCGCCTCGGCTGAGACGTACGAAATGCTTTATTATTAAATTTTTAAGTATAAAAAATCCGCATTCTAATATAAAGCTTAATTAAAAATTTTTTGGGACATGGAACATGGACAAGGTGGAGAAAAGGAATATCTTTTACTTGGTTATAGAGGTATCTATATTCTATAACCAAGTAAAAGATATTTTACAATTTATATGTTTGGTTTTAAATGAAGTTCGGATTTATTATCTATTTATTTCTATTCTATTATTTATTTCCTCCATTTTTTTATACATTCCACAAAATCATCACTGCGGCACAGTCTTGACTGTCTGCATGCCGAGCGCATGCCGAGATAGAGGCGCGTAGGCATAGCTCTCGCTTCGTCCGTTTGTATGAAGTTGGAATATTGTATAGATAAAATTACCGTCACTTAGTAGAATGCGCGGGCACAAATACCTAGATTCATTTCCCAACTGTTATGGACGCCACACACGGTCACTTCAACTGATCATTCCCAATCATTCCAACTGATCAGTTCAAACTAAAACTGTTGATATTTTTTTAAATAGTGGATTTTCGATACATCAATCATTATAAATATATTAATATCGAAGTTTTACATATAAGTTTATTTATGGATATATCGAAAACGTGAAATATTTTATGTATTTATAAGGATTATGGAACATCACTAAACAAATATAGTACGTGAGGGTAATATGGTCACTTTCTTGTTACTTAAAACTTTCAGCCTTGTTTGCGTAGATGGCTTTGTGATACGACAGCTCTTCATCGGTCAATCAAATAATAAAGGGTCAGAAGGGAGATGCTGTATCGCCATTTTAACAGTGGACATTATAGTAAATATTTTAGTTGATTTTAGTATGGTATAGTTTAGTATAAGGTACGTGAGGGTAATATGGTCAACTTAAGCTTTGCCGCAAAATAAAACCAAAACTAGGAGAAGTACAGAGACAAAAACACAAAGTCGTATACTATAACTAATATATTAAAAAAATAGCAGACAAGTTGTAACAATAATTAGGAACACTTCGGAAAATGTACTTAAAAAAAGGAAATACACTACGCCATAGGTACTAAAATCGAGTAAAATATTTACTATAATGTCAACTGTCAAAATAGCGTCGATAAAGCATCGCCCTTTTGACCCTTTATTAATTAATTGACCGATGAAGAGCTATGGTATCACAGAGTCATCTATGCAAACAAGGCTGTAGTTTTTGAGTTAAAAGAAAGTGACCATATTAACCGGATGACCATATTACCCTCACGTACTATAGTAGTTTTAAGTGGATTTTACGAAGTGTTCTTAAATGAAATGAAATTTATAAACATACATTACGTTAAAGATACAATTAGTTTTCAGCTCTGAAGCCTGCGTTAGTACCTAAAAACTGTGCTAGAGGCCTCAGACTTCGCCATCTATTGTCTAAGTATTATAATGTATATTATCATTATAAAGAGAATTTGTTAGTTAAAAAATAAAATAAAAATAAAAAAGTGATAATATGGTACTAATCCTATTGTAAGGCCAAATTGCGCACGCGCGCACGTGTGTCGCTCGTCTCGTGCGTGCGTGCGTGTGTGCGTGCGTGCGTGCGTGCGTGCGTGCGTGCGTGCGTGCGTGCGTGCGTGCGTGCGTGCGTGCGTGCGTGCGTGCGCGTCGTGCGTGCGTGCGTGCGTGCGTGCGTGCGTGCGTGCGTGCGTGCGCGTGCGTGCTCGCTCTGCTTGCGTGCTTGCGTGCGTGCGTGCGTGCGTGCGTGCTCAGCGTGGCGCTGCGTGCGTGCGTGCGTGCGTGCGTGCGTGCGCGTCTCGCGTGTGCGTGTGCGTGTGTGTGTTGTGTGTGTGTGTGCCGTGTTGTGTGTGTGTGTGTGTGTGTGTGTGTGTTCAAGCCGTTAAGAGATTGTTTTAATATTTTCTTAAATTCATGATTATTAATGTTAATAACAGTTTTAATCTTAATTATTGCCAAGGCTTGTTTGCTTTCTCTCTCCTTTGTGTGTTTTCTCTCTCCTTTTCCTAGTTTTGGTTTTATAGGGCGGCAAATTTTAAAGTGACCATATTACCCTCACGTACTTTATTCGATAAAATACTCAACGTCCTGCATTTTATGTCAATTGCCAATAGCGGGATGTGAAATTACGAATCTAATTTATCGTAATATGTACACACAAAGCGCACCGCCGCAATACTAAGCCTATAAAAATGATAATTAACAATTAGCTTAACAGGATTGGCTCCGACGCGACATTTGGTTATGTTTGCACAAACCGATAAATGCGCGTCCAAATCCACGCATCTGTCAACTTTCGGCGGGAATCTATCATTGTGACGTATCGTAAGAGGTTCCCATTAGCAGTGCGCTTTATATAATTTACTAAGTGGTGTTTACGTTAAAAATATTACAGTTTAGCTAAGGCGGCCAACTTTAGAAAAGTCAATGGGGTATATTCTTGTGGATGAAGAAAAGGCACCTAAATTAGGAAACAAACATCCATAATTTACTCAAGACTGAAGTAATTTTTTTAATCATAGGTATTACTTACATGACTTGCATACGATACGAAATGAAACCAAGATAATCACATGCACACTCGCACGCACGCATATTTCGTTAAGCAAGCAATTTCAGATCCTTTAAAGAAGAATTAAAAAGGATGTACTTGATGTCCTGTTGGTTTTGTTTGAGTATAGGCAGCCTCCCCAGGATGAAGTTTAAACATTCGAAAAATATTTAAAAATACATTACGAGGCAACGCGTTCAAGTTAACAACAGATCGTGCTTAAGAGTCGAAATTGAAAATCAATAAATAAAGATTGTCATGTTGACCGTACGTGACTTTTCTTTAAACTCCTAATGGGTGTTTTAAAATGTTTAAAGTTATAATATGGTATAATTTGAATGTTTGACTAAAACGATGTAAATTGGTCGTTAATTTCAAATAGCGTTTGTAAAGATAAGATTTGTTTAATAAATTATGAAATGAAATGAAAATCGCCTAAAATTTCTCATAAATATAGTAACATATTATTGGACAGTATAACAAAAATAGTTAAAAAATACATATTTTAAAACTTTTGGCCCAAGTAGTACATCGAAAAACATTCCATTTGTTTTATGTTTAGTGCCTATGGTTATTTTCAGATTATTTTTGATTGAAAAATAAATATTTTATTTAATGTTAATCAAATCAAAAGACTTCCGCATCATGTATGCACTCTCTACCGGTTATTAATTTATTATTTGTTTGAAAATTTTTCAATTACGGAGCTTCAGTCTTATATAATCTTGCTAACAAATTATTAAATATATATCCGTTAATTAAGAGGGAGACACAATCATTAGACTACGAATAGACAGAAAAACTTTTTGAACGTATTGTTTAAAATTTCAATATATATTATACACTACACATATACACACAACCGACACATTAATATCACTTAATAGACCTACCTACCTTTATTAGTATTTAAAACAGGTTTTTCTTTTTATGTACCTACACTTAATATATTTTATTAATTTTTAAACAGTTTCTCCAAACTGAACAAGTCTATTTTAATGTACTTTTGTTTACAAGTATGTAGTTGTAATTTTTAATAAGAGTTTTACACCAATATCACGTCTGTTGACACAGAGGGACCTGGTGATCCCACAGCACAGAGCAACCTAGTTTGGGCACCAGTCTCCCACCTAGATCTTATTTAGTTAGTATTTACAGCTGTTATTTAGCTGTATAAGTTTACTATTACTTAGTTTACTCTAAAATACTGATCATATGTAGTAGAAAATAAATACTAAATTATTGTTATTATAA